CAGGAATGGATTCTGGAAGCTGCCATAGCCTGCTACATGGGATTGTGAGAAATTCCCTCCAGGTTAATGTTCTAATTCATTCTTAAATTGAGGAAAATTACTACATCTTTAAAACTAGTAAGAACTTTTTATGATGTGGTTAGTTTTGGGTAGGTTTTCACTTGGATCAGAGTTTCTTTCATTTTTCCATTACGTTGCTGTGTTCCTTATGATTTCAGTCGGAAATCAGGACAAATGTTTTACTGTTTTTTAAAGATAATGGATGTGTTGTAGACAGACATTAAGTATCAATCTTGATTGTCCTAGTAGCAACTTAAGAAACTCTTGTGTCCCTTTGGTTCTTCTAGTGCAATTACGAGTTTTCAGTTTTTTCTTTTTTTTTAACATTGTTTAAGTTCAGATAAAGTATCTTGTCTCTGTTTTAACAGGTAGAGGAAACAATGTCTTCATTAGCTGAAGTGCAGCAGTTGGATAGTTTTCTTTGTCTCTATAAACAGCACATGACTGAGCTTATGGAATGGGTGTCAGAGTCGTGTGATTGTTGGACAAGCTATTCTCCAGAACCATTACAGTTGGATGTCATCGCAACTCATTCAGGTAAGACTCTTTTAGTGGTTCTGAAAAAAATCAAGTCATACTCTCCATAGTCTGCAGATAGGTTGTTTCTTATAATGAAGAGTGTAATATTCAGGAATTCCACAAGAGTAGGATGGAAAGCAAAGCTGAAAATGTTGAAGCAGCTCAAATTCCAAAAGGCTTCTTGGCTGCAAGGAGCACACTAGAATCACGTCTGTAAAAGTGTGCTTTCAGGTGAATGAAATCTGTGAAAATTAAGGGGAGATGAACTGATGTAGCTTCTGTGTTCAGTAATCTAGCTATTTTTTCTTTCTATTCATTAGTCTTATAATATATACTATTTTTCTGTGCAAACAGTTCCTCACTTTGGTTCCTCAGTTGCTTTGTATAGATGAGCGAAAGTTCGGCATGTGTTTCCCCTCACTGACAGGCAGCTTTTTTCATCTAGACACCCATTTTAAGGTTATTAAAATGGGAAGTCCTGTTTATTTGTGTTTTTTTTTCCTTTCTGTTAATTCAAAAGGGGCTGTAGACTGCTACTTCAGCTACAAGTGAATAATTATTATTGCTGCTTCAGACAGTTAGATGTGGACAAGGATGTTTGAAGGGACTGTGGCTTCTGCATTTAATCCTTGAATCTCAAAAAATGCCTCAACAAGCCTATGTGAAGCACCCACTTGCTGGTTTGTGCAGCAACCACCATAAGTGCTTTTTCTTTTTTTTTATCTGTGGAAAGAACAAATAATTTTTTCAGTGCAAGATCTGAGAGGTCAATTTTTCTGTATATTTGTACTCTCATTTCCATGACTGAGGGACTTCTAGACAGTTGTCTCTGTTTTCCTTAATGCTAAATAAATCATCAAATGTCTGAGCAAACATTTTGGCTTGCACCCAACATTGGTAATATGCTATTGTCTGTGTTTTCTGTCTGACACAGCAGCTCCTAGAGCTATTTTTTTTTCTTTCTTTTAATTCCCACACATAATGTTGTTTTTAATCAATTTAATCAGGTTTATTTGAAATTTCTCAGTTTTTACTGTTTCTGGGAATGCATGCTTAAGCTGAAACTAGCAATGTAGTTTATTTTGTTTATTTCCCATCTGTTGAATTTGCTCCTATCAGTTTGATGCAATAGTATCTTTGAAATGTCTTAGAAGTCACATGGAGCAATTTATTTTAAATAAATGCTGTGAAAATAAAGACCTATTTCTTGGCACAGAATTTTAGCCAACTGCCCCTCAACACCCTGAATTGTTTCAGTCTAGACAGCAAAGATTTGGGATTATTTTATTTTAAACATTAAATTTCCAGATATTATTAAATGCTATTAAACTTGTTTGGGAATCTTGAATACTTCAATCTAACCATTCCATGTGTCAGGAATAAAGCATGTGTATAGCCATATGTATTCTTCCTTCTTAAAACCATGCAGATGTTAATCATTATAAAGGAGAAAGGTATGAACCTCCTCTTTTGGGAAAATCAGTTCTTCAAATATTGGGATAACAATTTAGGATTTTTCTTTGTTTATTGTTTAGTGGTGAAAACAGAATTCATCTTAGGATGTGAAAATGTTAACAAACTAAAGAATTAGTTTGGAATATATTTCTGTTTCAAATAGCTTTTAAAATTCATCATATTTTAGATTATCTTGTAAAATGCAAAGAAGTATTATTTAAACATGGAGAAGGAAAACTGCTTGAAGAATTCCACTAACTAAGTTTTGAGGGTGACCCTTTCAAACATGCCCTTTCCTGTGCCCCTGGGAGTCATGAGCATGTTTCCTTGAAAGCTACACAGAGAGAAACTTGAAAGGAGAAAAAAGCACAGTTAATGCTGATGTTTGGAGTGGTGTGATGGTCACACCAGATTCAGTATCGTTTTCTTGAAGTTCAATAAAACTAAAACTTTGTGCATAGCCTTAAGCTTTCAGGGATATAGCAAACAGTGTTAATCCTCCCCAAAGGCATTAGTTCCACCCAAAATGTCATGTTCTACTGCTGGTCCCAGCCACTTGCTGTGCAACATGGACATATCACTGGCATCTTAATGAAAAGCTGGCTAAATGTATTGTGGGGTAAACCAGCCTTCAGGGACCACCTTGCTGATGTGGCTGAGACTGGGGTGCCTGAGCCCATGGAGAGTGAGCTTGGGTGTTTGTACACCCCCTAGTACCATGTAATGTGGGTACATCCATGGCTGCCATGCAAGAGTTGGGATTAAATGTTGTTCTACTACCAGGCATACTACAAATTTTAGTGCACTTAGGTATTAAGCATCTAAATAGAACTTACTAGTGTGTTTGGTTTTTTTTCTAGGTCCTGTTATAGGTGAAGCTCTAAATAACTTTATTCCCATTCTTAAGACATGTCTTCAGCCAAACAAGGATCCCAAGATGCAGTTAAAACTTTTCACTGTCTTGTCACAGTTGCTCCAGGAAGCGAATGAAACCATCAATTCTCAAGGGTAAGCAGAGTCCTGATTTCACACAGCTATTTAAACACTACCATGGCATTAAAAAATAATGACCATGGTGGTTTTTTAATCCCTTTAATTGTGTCCATGCTAGCATGTCTGGAAGAAGAAAGATTTTCCCACCATCTTCTACAATGTATTGCTGTATTTTTAACAGTGCTTGGAAGGTTGGAGTGCAGTAATTTAAGAAAAAAATAAGAATAACTTGATATCTGGACTTCCTTCACTATAGTCTTCCTATCTGCCACTATGGAGGATTAAAATGGATGTGATGCAGATCTGGATAGTTTTCAAAAAGTGGAGAGTTTTAGTTGAAGAGAATAGTGTTTGAAAGCTAAAATGGGGATTCTTAGGAAAGAAATATGGGGGCCATAAGATTTTTTTGGGTTTTGTTTTCTTTTTCTCCCATAAAAGTCCCAAATCCTTAAACTTTGCCTGTATTCATCATAAGGAAACAATAAAGAACCCCAAAAAATGAGCTTTTAAAAATGCCCATGATATAGCATGGTGTTTAAAAAGCATTAAACTAAATGTTTGATAAGGAGTTATTATTAGTCTCAGTGACTGAAGATGGGAGCATCCTGTTGCTTGGCACTATTTATGCATTGCAAGTACAATCTAACTACAATTTATGGTGCTTGTAAAACCCCTCTAGGGATAACAATGCCAACAGTGGGGCTCTTCTGTCATTAGTAATTTAATCTTTATAGTCATGCAAACACTTCTGCAAAGTTCTCCTGAATACATAAACAATATCTGCTCTGCTTTTCCCAGTGCCTGCTGCATTTAGAATGTGAATGTATTCAGTGCATATATATTTCATTTTTAACTCTTTAAAAAAAAAAATAGAAAACGCCCACAAAACCAGAGGACAATCACAGGAAGCATTCTTCCTAAAAGTGTTTTGATAGCAGTGGTCCTCTATATCTGGAAGCTTTTTGCACTATTTTTATGAACAAATTGGCAGTCAGTGGGCATTCTGGTACGTTGAACATCATTCAGATTCCATGAGGACATGTCAGTAGCAATTTTAATTTTTTTTTTTAGTATACTCATGCCCTGCATCCCATAATAGGAGGAGATGGAACCGTGGTGTTCCCATTCAGTGGAAGATTCCAAGTAAGCTGAAGAACCTGTGCTAAGGCATTCCCTAATGGATTTGAAGCTAGATGGGATATAGTGAAGCTGTCCTTTTTGTGCCAAGTGTATTGTTATCTCTTTTTTAATATTTTCAGGATCCAGTTGTTAAACCTCTGTTCGTATGAAAAATCTCTTTGTAGTCAGTGGGTTACTTGTGTGAATAACCATAAGTAAGTGAATGGTAGTTACAAGATCAAGCTAGATACGCAAGAATCTTCCAAAAAGGAAGAAAGGGCAAGGAAAAGGAAAAGGACTTAAAAAACTCTTTTAAGTGTTCCAGGAACTGACTATTTACTGTAAGTTAATCTGTTCTATCTGAGATCTGTATCATCTAACTGAGGATACAAAGACTGTGAAGCTAAGAAATGTCATCTCATGTTCTGTGATGCCCTGGACACAACAATAATGCTTATTAAGTCTGTAATAACATATTTCAGTCCAAAAAGGGGGTAATGCAACTCTCTCCCATCTATTTCTTTTCTTTTATGGCCTAATTTTACCATCCTTTATTTACTGCAAAATGCATTTTCAGCTCCTGTTCATCTGACAAACAATCACAATGGAGGAAGTAACATAAAGTTTTAGTGTTTGAAGAGCTGTTTGCAAAACATTTTTGGATGTTTTGATTTGTAAAAGCAAATCTGATTTTGTTTCCAATGACCTGGTTTTCTTTTGGAAAGAACAAAAACATAGACACAAAAAACCCACACCACAACAATCCACAAACATATAAAGCCAAGTGAGGCAGTGCCTTAAAAGCAAAAAAGGAGCCAGTCTATAAAAATAGATAGAAAATACATAACATGGAATGAAAGGTTAAGTATATAAGTGCACAAAATGTGGGTAGCAGTTTTAGTGTAAAGCCAAGCTCTGCTTTTTGTATTTGCATAAGAGGTAGGTGTTATTGGATGCACAGATCACATTTTAGTTATTGCATATCTGGTTGAGAATAAAATCTCAATTCTCTAAATACAAACACTACAGACACGGTATGTTCTTTCAGGGGAAAGTCTCACTTTTAGAATTTTCATAGATTTACCACAGTAAGATCTGAAAATGGAAAGAGGGAAAAATTAATTGCATTCCTAATGATAATGAGAGATAGTGTAGTGAAGTAGAAATAAGTTCTAGCTCCATAATTGCATTCCCTGATGGAAGTAATTTATTTAGCTGCTTAAAAACTTTCCAACAGTTTAGATAGGAAGGCTTCCAGTTATTATACTAAACTCAGTTGTGTGGTCATCTAATTTTGTTTGAGTCTGACATGATTGAGTCAGATAATTGCCAGATGTTACTTGATGGACTCTATTTCAAGGCATTAGAACAAATACTCTCACAAATAGAAGAGCATTATGGTTAACATAATGCTGCTGGAATTTGTCTTTATGTTTTGACAGATTGGGGATTTTTGCAGTTTAACAGAAAGCTTTATTAAAAACAGAACAGCTATTGATCAGATATCACAGTAGCACAGACAGCACAAAGCCTTTTTTTTTTTAGCTTTGGAGCTAAAAGGAAATTTGGAGTGATAGTGATCATTAGTTATATTTTTTTTCTGGCAACTTTCTGAATAGAAAATTACTAATACTCAAAAATGTGTTTGAAATAATAAATCTAAAGTTTCTGATAAATTTAGATACTTTTTTTAGACACATCAGATTTCCTGTTATTACTGAATCTTAAGTGCCATCTGCTGGACAGGGAGCAAGAACAGATCTCTGACTTCCTCAGAAACGGAGTGTGCAGGTGTATCTGTTTTCATCATGTTGAGGGTAGAGATTTTCAGTATTGTGTGTGTGCACCAGATAATTAAGGCCTGGCAGGGTAGATGGTCTTATTTTAGTCAAATTACTAACATGGGTAAAGAGTAGTTACAGGAAAGAAGTAGATAAAATTGCATTTCTTATTACATTGGTACAATATTATTATGGAAAATTGTATTGCTGAATGAGTTTGTTCTGCTGCTGTGGGGATTATTTTAAAAGTACTTTGTGATATTGGTTAACATCTACCCATTATGTTCCTCCTGTGGCTTGGCAGATCTCTGTAGTAGCCACTTATTAATCCTGGAAATGTAGGACTCTCAGAAAAGTCAACAACAGCTTCTTCCCTTTCTGCCAAGCAGCACAGTGGTGGGTGGTGCACTCAGGTGGCCACAGCCCAGGTCTGCAGGAAGTTTGAACAGAGTGGGACACAAGTCAAGGTAGATTAAGCCTGTTTGTCAATCTGGTTTGCATGCTGCTTTTTAAGGCAGAGAAGCACAGTGAATAACCTTAGTTATCTAGTCTCAGCCAGGCATTATCTCTTTGATGCAGCAAAGTCTTTTGTAACTTGTGTGTAAGATCTGTATCTTTTTCTCTTAACTTAAAATAGTTTGAGCTGGAATTTAATGGGCGTGAGGGAATATTTTCTATTGCAACTGCTGACCCTTGCAACAACTTTTAGCATTGTTGTAGCCCATTCAGTGGAGAAGGAGGAAGAAGCATCAGCAAAAATACCACAGATTTGTGTGTCTGTAATGAAAACAAACTAGTATTGGGACTGGCACCATAAGAAAATCCTACTCACTTCTCCTCGAGGGAGATGAGTTTCTGAGCCAAGGGAAAACAGAATTATTCTGTGTGGACTCCCTGCAGTATCACTAGTTCAGGTCTCATCAATAGCATTCATACTTTTCACATTATAAATACTTTCCACTGGGCAGTCTCAAAGGGCCTTACAAATATTAATGAGTCCTCACAGTATTTATACAGGGTCTTATCTCCTCCTCACAGATGGAGAAAATGAGACAGAGAGAAGGTGAGTAGTTTACCAAGATAACACAGTGAGTCATGGACATCGTCTCAAGTGGGAGAAAGTCTAGTCACCTCTTTCTATGAATGCTAGGTATTTGTTTAAATACTCTCTAGGAAAAATAAATTATGAAAAGCTTATCACAGACATTATAATCCCATTGGCTTAGAAGATTTTATTTCTTTTTTACAGTATTTTTTTTGCCTTTTCTGCCCATGCTGCTATGACAGAAAATTCTCTTCTATATCCTGTCAGTCTCTTTCTCACTTTCTCATGAACCTTTATTTTGCTTTCTTATTTTTGACTTCAGGCTGTTCCCTAGTTACCTTGAGATTGTGATAAAAGACATCCTGGCCCCTAATCTGCAGTGGCATGCAGGAAGAACTGCAGCTTCCATCCGCACTACAGCTCTGTCCTGCCTTTGGGCTCTTACTCACTGTGAGATGCTGTCACCAGAAGAGGTAAGTTTTCTCCTTCTCAACAAATGTGCTTTGAAATCTTAGGCAGGAAGACAAAATAAATGCAAGGGGCAAAGAAGAAGAAATCCTTCTATTAAGTAATATTTTCAGGTGGACATACAGTTTTCATAATAAAGTTCAATAATTGTAAGGGAGTAGTAATAATTGAAACAGTCAGTAGTGGAGGGACAATGGTATCCTGAGGTGAGACCTAAGACCAGCAGAATGGTGAACTGTAGAACTCACCGTTTTGTAGATCTTTGTTCTAGAATAACATCAGTTCTGTAGCACAAAATACTCACTACTATTAGCACAACAGCTTGGGTGCTTGACAGGATTGGATCCCTACCCAGTGTCTGTGCAGCAGCCCTGGAGCCAGCCAGGACATTCTTTTGTGTAATGTGGCAAAGACAAACTGGCTGCCTGCCTGGGAGCCCAAAGGTCCATGTAGGAAAAAAATAAATCTAAAAGATTCCTGAAAGGGCAGGAGAACTTGAGATGGAACTTGAAGAGTATGTGTAGAAACTGAAGTGGAGCTCTAACAAGGAGTACACTTGAAGAAATGTTACCCACCATAGTCATTAAGGTTTAATTGCATCTGAGGGGCTTTCTGAACCCTCTTTGCTAATAATAATAGCATTTGGTAATGATGCACTGAAAATACATTACATATAAGGGCATTTTTAAAAACTAAATGGAATTAAAATGTTATTAAATGTTCATAGTCTTTATTGTCTTTATAACAGACCTTATTTGAACAAAGTGCTTGAACATTTGTAACTGGTTGAGTTCACATATACAAAAACATTTATACCAGAGACTACTGTTCTAATTAAACATTTTTCTGATTTAATGCCTTTTTTGCATTTATGTATACAAAATTATGTATTAAAGTCAAATTATGAAACTCACTGAAACTTTATCACAACAGTCTACTTAAAGGTTTCCTTTTAGAATGAGAGCACCATCTACTGGTACATACACATAACCCTCATCTCCAGATTATTTAAAGCCTTGCCCACAATTTTTCAAAATGGAAAGGCAAGTGTAAAGCTTTTACACGTTACATTAAGCTCATATTCATTTTTCATTAACTGGATGATTAATTGGTGGATTTTCATTTCCCAAGCTTGCTTAGGGGCAAACACAAAGCACTGTAACTTCCAAGATCTTCAAGTTAACTTCTATAGTTAACTTTCTCTTTTCACATGAAGTAAGCCAGTGTCAATAAAACCTAATGCTAACTGATGTAACCAATAAGAATATTGTTTGAGTGACTGAAAATCTGTTGCTCTTCTATGCTTTTCCTCTAACTGTAGATGTTAAAAGTCAAAGATGGCCTAATGCCCCAAATCATTGCCTCTCTGGATGAAGACTCTAAAATTGCCCGGCTGTTGGCTTGTCGTACTGTTGGTGTCCTTGTCAAAGTCTGTGGGAGGCAGTTTGATGAAGAGAATTTTACCAGAACTTACACAGGTATGTGCGAAAGTTTTTTGTTGTTGGGTTTGGTTTTAATGTTAAAAAATTACATTTGCTTTTTTC